GGGGGGGGTGGGGGGGGGTACGTGTGTGAGTGTGTGTGTTGAGTTTAATAAAACATGGTTCCTCTGTGTCTCCTAGTTTTTATTATTTGTTTGTGGTTTAGGGATTAAAAGTTTTTCCCAGTTATTCTCCAAAATTTTTGTTGGAATAGGCAAGAGTCTATAAAGTCTGACAGACCAAATCACTTTTACTATTTCTTGTCCAGTGAATGAACTTAAAAATATTATATCCTTGTCCCAACTGCAGTTGTTTTTACTTTCAGAACAGGTCCCTCATTCATCCTTCAAAGGGATACATCAAGCATGAATATGAAGGTTCATTTCCTCCAGGGCAATAATGACTTTGAGACTACTACTGTCTTAGGTTAGGATCTTACTGATTAGATTCTTACTAACTCATTTCCAAGTCAGTACCATCCTCAGTTTCAGAGGATGGTTGCTGTCGAATCAAACTCTACCTCTGGAGAAACCAACAGCCAACTTTGTCCTGCTGGGTAGCTGGTACCATCTCTATTATTGGTCTTGGTACAGGTCTCCCTGGCTAGCTGACACCTTCCAGGTCTCCAACAGCCTTTTGCTGAATGCCTATTTGCCCTGGCAGCACTTCTATCTCTGTGACTTCTCCTTGAAGCCCTCCTACCACCTTCTACAACGAAGTGGTCTATAGACTTTCACAGACAGAGAACTTTAACCATGTTCACTACAAATCTGGTCCTGGATTCAGGGTTGGTATGTCCAGGAGAAGGATGTATCTGAGCAGGATTAACTTTTGTGAACAGAAGAGTAGAGCGATTACTTTTTCAGCACAGTGCACATTCTTCATATTGTTTAGCTCTAAAATCTTTCATGAAACTTGCGAGTGCTCTTCCTACCCTGTTTCCACCTCTTGATTCTCTGAGTATTTCCCTTGGTGAGTGCTGCATCCCTTATAGGAAAATATCAAACAACTCCAAACAAGTGTTCTTCATGCCGTTAGCCTTTGGCTTCTTGCAGCAAATTCACGAAACAGACCACACTATAAACCTCGAACTACACTCTCCCAGCAATCATCACTTCCTATGGATCAGGAATAGTTTCTATTATCAGGTGAGTCTACCTCATCTACTCCCAGCAAAAAGGTGAGCAAGACCATACATGTATTCTCTGAAATAGTTACAAATGACAGAACATAATAAACATTTTCTCTGTGCAATTGCAAGTTTAAAGATTTTGCATCAAAGAGTACATGGGAAAGTTCCATCAGCAATGTTCAGCAGAAGGTGTATGTTATACCGCATCTTCTTGGTTGCTCCAAACTAGCCTCAATCCATGATCTGTCATCCATAAAGAAGTGTGAAAAAATGTGAAGAATGCTTATGTTCTACTTCATCACTCTGATTACTATTGTTATGCACACTCTCACTGACATAAGAGATAGCAGAGCCACTGACTGTCCCACAGAAAACTGAGAAAACATCAGCATTAAAATATATTAACTGTGGAAGTTATGAACACAAATATCTTACTTCCAAAATGATGTGATGAAAGTGTAAACAAAATAGGTTGTTTTGCAGGAGGTGTGCTTTTCAAAGGAGAACAATACAGGGCAATACATACTGAAAATTACATTACCCTCATAAACGCTGGATGATCTTTGCAGGCAATATTCTTGCTATAAATCTTTACATTTCCTGAGATTGTATCAGATGTTCCATTGGAAGAAAAATAAAATCTTGCTTGTGTATCCACTTTTCTGTTCACATCAACACTCAGATTATAAAGCAGTACTGCAAAATAAAACCAAGAGAAAAGTTACAAAAACTTTAAGTTTTAGAATTTTAATGAACTTATGATAGAAATGACATCTTCTGACTCACTTCCTTAAGTATGTTCTATAATACCCATTTTGAAATGCCCTGCTTAAAAATTCTCTGACATAAATCCATACCTAACGAAAGCTTCTAGTCCTCTGAAAATTGACTGCATCATGACTGATTCCTGATACACACTTTTACATCAGGGGTAGTTTTGTCAAGTCATAGTTTTCTACCAGAATCTATTTAAAGAAAACCTGCTTCAAGTTACTTCCAGGGCTGACATTAAATTTCAACAAACAGGTAAGTCAACAGACTGACAAATACTGTCACAGTTTCTTCTATTTAAGTTAGCATGAATTGCTACAACAACAAATTGCAAATAAGTTTCAGAGCATTACTGATCTCTTACTTCTTAATCTCCGCCAAAAGTTCAGTGAGGATATCTAGATTTTCCTCCAGAATTTCCTATTTAAGTTAAAAAGTCTTATGTCAGAATTCAGCAAAGGTAATCCAGTCTGACTGCTCATATTTCACAACAAATATGAATTTCAAAAGATCTGAACTCGAAACTTTACAGTGCATTGTTGGATGTGTTCTCTGTAATGTGTTCCTAAAAGGATATTGTATATTCTCATACAGAAGATGTAAGCAAATTAATTTTATATACTATCTATTTGCAGGGCTGTTTGCAGCTTACAAATAGCACATGACAAGCAGGTTAAAAGCACCCATGCAACACAGTCAAATTTAGACAGTGCATCATTTTAAATAAGTTCAACATGAATATTCCCTCCAATAGATATTGCTTCAAGCAATACCAGTTTTTGCCAAACACTAAATATGCATTATATAAAATAAAATACAAGATATATTTTCAGTAATTTTGATGGGACACCCTCTCTTTCACATAATGTTCCGTACCGGTACGATCAGGCACCTGAGCTGCTTTATGGAGGGAATGCCTTTTCTCTCTTGCTAAGTGGAAGACTGCATCCTACAGCAGTCCCATGTGGCTTGGTCCACGTCTGGGAGGACTGCTTTTAGAGGACATCTGAATATCATGCTGAATAATCCATTTGATTCTACATTAAGAAAAGACATTCACCCACCATTAATTCCACTTAATTTCAAAGCAACAGCCCATACATTTGCACGTGGAAAGTTCAGATAAACTTAGACACTCCTGTTAGGCACTGTGCAAAACAGAATATGGTCCCTGGGCAACTACGTAAAAAAATGTGTTCATGGAGTAAGTGCACTCTATTTCTTCGTGAATCCTAACAGCATACTAACTCATTCAAAAACCTATCAAAATCTTGGATCTACTTATGATGCTGTGAAAGGGACCATCTGAAATGGCATCATTACAACGTGGTTCAGAAGCATAATAAACTAAATATCAATAGCATTATTCTGTAAATAGGTACATTTAAAATGAATACATATACTGGAATTTTTTTTCAAGTAGCTTACCAATATAACCAGGTACCTCTCGTCCTGTATAGGTAAAACATATCTTCAAATTCATGCAGACAGCAGGCTGGTCATTTTCCATGCAGTTTAAATTAGTTCGATTTATTGAATTAAGATGTTTTAAAGAAGCTTCAACAATTATCACTGGTTTTGTTCTAAGAATAGAAAAGTGTTAATGTTCACAAAACACTCCAGACATAGTTTACAGAATCTCTGAAGAATATAACAATATCTGACAATCTACTTTTATATTTCATAATTATAATTTTTTAATTTATCTGCATTTTTCAGGATCCAAACAGTTGTATGCACATTTGTTGCCTCAAGAATTTTCAGAATGATACTTTGTTTCTTCAAGGTGTTTAATTAAATGTTTCAGCTGTAGAGCATTCTAGAGCCTAATAACTGAAGTTCAAGATACCAAGAAGAATATCATGAGGTTAACGTAGACTACTGAGTTTTATTACACTGCATTAAAAAATGCAGCTAAATTGTATGGTCTTTAAAAGCACTGAAATGTAGCAACCTCACCTCAGCACCACAGCAGAATCAGAGAGAAATGCACCAACTGCTACATCTGGACAAAAAAATAGATCAGTAAGCATAAATTGTCAACAGGAATTACTTCTTGGGTACAAGCATTTTGTATTCACCTTTCAGTCAGCATTAAAACACTGTTTACCCTTTATTTAGTAGAAGGAAGTAATTATTATATTCAAAAGTGGTGTTCTCCATCTAGAGGATGATTCCTCAAATACTTGTCCACTGTCCATTAACGCTGCATGCTAATTTCCTGGACTTGCGGATAGCGGTAATGTGATGATTTGATTTCTATTCCACATTTAAGTGGCTGATACTGAAGGACAATTCAGCTAAATAGGAGGTACTTGTGGGTTTTTTTTAAAATCCAAATATTCAATATTACTATATACACACACATAAACAATTCAGTTCTACATATATAACTGTATATATTGTATGTATGAAATTATACATATAGATAGAAAAAAAATTATTTCATTATTCCAAACTAACTGAAAACTATTCATGCAGTAAGGAAAGAAGTATACACTATATATACCTCTCAAATGAAGTAGCAAAAGTGAATCATCCGATGAGTCTAAATGATACAAGGATCCGAGTACATGACTGCCAAACCAGTAAACAACAGGTGACCTGACAGCTGACTACTTGTACACTACCTCTTAGCTCAGTATTACAAATTAACCTGGATAACTTTTCTCTTGACATAGCCAGAGCATACAACATGCAGTTCATGATAACTTTATGCTTTCACACCCACAGGGCAGGACAGGCAGTAACTGACATAACACTTATCTGCAAAATGTCAAAATATTTTGACAATATGTATAAAGGGACGAGTATATACTCGGAACCAGCTAAGCTGTTTTACACCAAATTAGCACTTCTGTGTCATGCCCACAAAGAACTCCACAACAGTCTTAATCCAACGTCATGAGCCCTGAGTCAGGTTACTGTATTGCTCACAAGGTCAAGGAGCTCAGTAACACCTGGCAAAATCCCGACTATGTGAAGACCAGTAAGATTTTTAGGTTAGCACACTAGCCTGGACAACAAACATGCTTCCAGTGCCCAAACGAGCTCACTGTGACATTAGCAGGTAAGATGGCTGCCGTAAAAATAAAAATTATGTTTCTCCTCCTCTTATGCACTATGATCTTACTATTACATCATTCTCAGTCCTTAAGTAACAGATGACCGTGAAAACTGTTTGCCTCAGCTTTTTTTTATTTCGCAAAATGCAAGATATGACATGTCGTCTTAGTAACAGATTTTGCTTCTGTTAGAAATAACAAGTAGCATTATAGGGTTGTTCCATATGAACCTCTACTCTTTTAAAAGTTAAAATCAAATAAAATTGTTTAATTCACCTTGATAACCATTATTATCTGCGTCAATGCCACCTGCTATGGATTGTCCAAACATGCTTAAAGAGTTACCGACTTGATGTCCTTGTATTCTCTGAGGAGGAAAAAAAACAGCATAGAAAATTATTCTTGGAAAACTAATCTCTGAGTTACAATTTCCAGTGAAAAATGTTAGTAAAACTATCCTGCTGCTGAAGGCAGTTTCATGCTTACCTGTGAAAGTATACCTCTGAAAGTAATATTCCTCAATTACTGCAAATGTTATATCCCATAAACCCTGTCTGAGGCCCCCAAAACACTATTTTTCTGTTACAGATTATGTTATGACTGGAAATCACAGACTATGTAAAAAATTTCTGAAGTCTTTTAAAGTACCTCAGATGGTCTGAGTGTTAAATGAAGGGAAAACCCTTTTGAATTTAAACTTAAGGTTTTTCTTGACTGATTTATTTTTCATTGAAAAAGCGTACCTGTGAAAACAATGGCGTTATTCCATCTTCCCTGCCATTGTATATATAAATAACCCCTTTTAGATTATCTTCTTGTGGAGCCCCTATTGCCACATCTGTGAAAAAAAGAATTTAACAATAATCACTTGATTAGGAAACATGAATAAGGAAGAGTTAAAGAAATCCAAATCATGATGCATGCCATGCCAGACCAATTTTACTTGACTGAAATCAAAAAAAGTGATGAAGCTAGATATAAGGCAAATGGAAACAATACAGACCAGCTCAGTAATCTGATTCTGCTTTAACTACTATATTTCTGGAAAACAAGGGCCAAATACAGCCATTTTGGTCAAGAGAAAGTCTGTTCCTACCAATACTGAATGTGATGGTTAAGAGGTTACCATGGACAGTAGCCAAAATTATCATGGTCTAAAAGAAAAAAAAAAGCAGCCTTGTATTCATGGAACTATGATTATTTTCCTGCACTCTGCTGTTCCCACATGGATTAAATCACTGAAACACAAGAAGTACTCTTACTGCCTGAAATGAACCCTTTATTCTTCTAGGAAATGTCTTTAACAGCTGATAACAGGCTTGAACAGGCATTTAACAAGGAAATTAAGGCAGCTGGTTTGTAAAAAGGGTATGATTTATGCCTACATGATTTAATCCCCGAGGGGTGTGGCAACACAAAAACCACCCAGCCACCCTCAACAGCCCTTCCCAAAAAGCCCCATGGTTCAAATAGCCAGAGGTTGTTAACCAAAAAGTGGAGGGATGGAGGGGGAGATGAATTACATCATCTTGAAAGTCACTAATATAAATTAGTATTTGTGAACTATTACTAACAATTCACAAGTGAGCAAAACGAAACCATCTGCAAATCAGAAATACTGCATGCCACACCCAACCAAAATCAGAAGAAAAGCAAAGCTCTGACAATTTGATTTTACTGAACAGTTCTCTGACTGAATCCTTATTGACTGAATCCATACTTCGGTAGCTAAAATTATGTCTCTACTGGCGAGATGAAAACAGGACAGCCAAGCTTTACTAATTAAAATTACACATCTGTTTTTGAGGAGGTCAGGTTCTACACCAACACCATCATCTTCACAGGGCTGACACTGATGGTTTAGATCATTGAAGAAATTTGCTCTGCTGTGCTTTTTTATTACTTACTACAGACAAATGATTTCTAACACCCAATTTCTCCTATTGATATTTTGCTTCCAGCTGTTTTTCTTGCAAAATTTATTTTCCTGCTGCCACTCTCAATATTGTCTCCACTTTTTCTTTTCAATGTTTTTGCTCCCTTCCAAAGCTAATCCACTTGTTTGCCTCCCTCTACAGTTTTAGGAAGCTCATTTTACATTATATTCTGTGTCATTCATCTAATTTGCTATGCTGCTATTAATTTGATTTTACTTCTCCATTCCCCAGCCCTACATTTGGATACAGTTTTTCTCTGCAGTTTGCAAATGTTTTGGGGCAAAACCTGAAACTTGTGTATAAAATTGTGAAGGTAATGCAAAACAGGAGAAATTAAATTCAATGGAAGTTCAAGGAACAGGTACCAAAGAAGAGGAAAAAAAAAAAGAAAAAAAAAGACTCTTTTAAGGAAAAGGACCAAGAACACAAGACAAAGGGAAGAGTGGAAGAAGAAACCTGGATCATAACTGCAAAGAAAAAGGGTAATTCAGAAGCGTGAAGAAAAGATGTGGATTTGGTAAAGACATACCCCAGAAAAAGCTGACAGTTTTTAGCTGACAGGTATTAGCTCCCTGCATACAGTCTAAGTTTTGATAATGGAAAAACTGAAACTGTTTACGAATTTTTGAACAGTAGTAAACTTCTGCTGTATTTGTATCCTCTCCCTACACACCCGTTTATGCTGGCCATTCTGCTGGAGGGGAAGCGCATGCCAGTTTTTCAGACGGGAATACTGGCCATTCCTATCTGTCTGAAACCATGACAAGATGAATGAAGCCACTGGGCCAGGCCCCCTCTGCTTGTCTTCAGTCTAGCTGGAGGCCTCTCAGTCAGCTGTGTTTTTGCAGGCTACCTAAACAGCTAGTGAATGGTCTTGGAAGGAAAGAGGATGAGAGCAGTTGACCATGAGGCTTTCTGTAGCAAATACATTTTAGGCAGCCTGACTGGACACAGAAGGGAAGTAGAAGGCCATGAGAGTCATTCTAGATGTTGTAAGACGCCTTACACCCTACCATCTGTTTTTTGTAACTAAAATACCTTTTATCTGTGACCTTCACATGGCATTCTCTTTTCAATGTCTATTACTTTCATGCATATTGCAGAAGTTAGACACAAGCCTGGAGACTGTCTGCCCTCTGAGAGGTTCCACCTAAACAACATCAATGGAAATTTCAGCACCTATCATACTTAGAAGAGGGTGTTTCAGCCTGGATGGTGGGGAAGGAAGGGAGAATATTTTCAGTTTCTGTTTAGGCATACAACTTTATATGCCTGAAACAGTTGCTCCTGTATAGACAACAGGAAAAATAAGCTCCCTCAAAGCCCTATTAACATTTTGAATTCACTACTGCGGCATGGCCATCAAAGTCCTTCCCTGTGTTCTCTGTCCACTGGGAGACCCTGCTAGGCAATTTGTGTGTCACCTGAGGGCCTGACTGGGAAGTGGTAGCAATCTCCACTTGCAGGTTGTTTTTGATATCCCCATGTGTTTAGAACTTCCATTGGTGTGCAGAAGCAGATCTTGACTCAATGTGTAATTTTTATAGTGTTGCAAAATCGCCAAATTGTTCCCCAACTGTTGTCTCAAGATGCCTAAAACAGGATTAGGGATTCCACTTGAGGTCCATCCCCAAAGTTACAGAATATGTTATCACCTTATGATTTATTAAAGCAACAGAACCTAATTTCTTCGTATTACATATCAGTGACTGTGAGGCAGCTGCATTTCAAATCAGTGGCCTAGAAAAGAAGTTACCAACTGAAAGTCTTCTCAGACTTCCATAATCCTCCTGTTTATTGTGACAGTCCACTACTCTGAGAGAATCAAACCCAAGGGGTTTCTTTCAGATACTTACCTTCAAAACCATCATTATCTATGTCTCCTAGATTGGCTATGGACTCTCCAAACCTGGCTGCATATGAGTCCCTCCCGCTGAGCTCTATGTTCAGTTCTACCATCTTTGCCTCCTGAAGGAAAACAGAGTCAACAGCACATTAACAGAGCATCTTCCAGGTAACATGGAATATTACTAAAAATGTTAAAACTGCCTTGGAAGCCAATATATAATCCTACTGAACTCCTTGGTACTGAACTGAGCATTATTTAACAGTATTTAGTGTAAGAATAATAAAGAATAAGAAAGTTTTTCTTTAAGAAACAGAACAGTAATGTGTTCCCACAGCAAAGACCTGTAAACAATAGCAAGCTTCTATCAGAATACAGGGGCCTACTGCTCTGAGAAAACTGTATTTGCTGAAAAAGTATTAAACAGTAGCTGCTTCAGAGCTATTGTGTGTGCCTTAGCTAGTCGTATGTATCCTGGAGTGACTCTGCTCTCTCTGAAGAAAACATGTTAAAAAAATGTTAATTGCAAGCATTAAGGGGATTATTAGGGTGGAGAGAAAGGAAGGGAAATAAAACACGAAAATAAAATTCACAAAGCCAGACAAATTCAAAAGCACACAAAAAACAGTGATTATACTTTCACTTCTGATGCTTAAAATGAATAAAAGGAAGCTAACTGTAATGCATGATCTGTCCAGTTACTTTATTTGTCAAAATGAGGACTGTCTCTTTCCTGAGTGGTACCACTAACCATGCAAATTTTTCATTCTTTGTTTGTTTCTGAGTGCTAAATAAGTTGCTCTTCACAGGTCAGCTCGGTGGCAAGCATGGCAATGGAGGAGAGCTTGTAAAGAGGCTGCAGTGGCAGACTGTCACAACCTGAAGAAATAAAACCAGTCTGTCCTCAGTTTTAACACCAGTGTAAATACAAGTGTGTTACACTTCATACAGCTAGCCTTGGCAGGTCTGCTACACGCTCCCACTGTGATTGTCCTCACAGTTCTAGAGTTGTTTTTCCTATATCCTGAAATATTGTATGATGAGAGAAGACATCGCTTCCTCTTAGCTTGTTATACTAGAATAACTGTGTTACCATGAGTTAAGAGAAAATACTTACAGAACCTGAATTGATATAGACATAAACTCTCCCTTCTTCTCTGATGGTACTTTGCATTGGAGCACCAACTAGCAAGTCTGAGAGGCCATCTGAATTCAGGTCCACAGCACAAACTGCAGCTCCAAAGTAAGATCCAAGCTGTGTGCAAACAACAAATCACATTATTTTTCAATTTTGAGGAAGACATTCGAGAAGTTCTAAGGTGCAGAAAAGTTACATGAAAGATTTACCTTTTTACCCCTTAGTTCAAACAGAATATTTAGCTGCTTCTCAATGCTAAAAATGTATGCCTAAAATGACAAGAAAATAAGTGGAGTTCAGCAAAGTGTAATCTGAAATACTTCCCTGTGCTTTCTCTACAGCATGTGCTAGAGAATCAGCAAAGCAACACCCAATATCACAAGGAACAACTATTTCCTATCCGTACCTTTTTAAAACACCATAGTTCACAGCAATATTATCTAAGACTATCTTCCCTCATTCCTTCTTTGCCTTTTCTCCCCGTGACAAATCATATCTATCTGATATTTGTCTTTAATATGTTAATCTAAATTGGAAAATCACAGGTAGGCATGTGGGGGTATATTCTTCAGACCAGTAGTACAGACAATCTCTTACTTTACCAGTCTGCTCCTGTTGGGGAGCCCCTCCAATTACTTCTGTACTGGCTGATGTCAGAAAATGTCCAGCTCCAACAGAGTATCCTGTAAATTAGCAATGCACTATTCAATACTGGAAATAGTACACAAGGAAAAAAAAAAAAGTAGGATCATGACGTATAAAAGCTGTCAATACCACAAATCATCGAGAGTCTGACATTCAGACCTCATGTAAGTTAGCAATAGAAACAAAAGTTTTTGATATACAAGCAAAAGGTCAACACAAACAGTAGTTCCAGCAAGCAGAAACAAGTATAAGAAACACTCATTTCTTCCCAGGAACACCATTACCTGCCATACTTTAAAAGCCAATAAAATAAATGGCAAATGCAAATGGCAAACGCCTCCTGTTAAAGCATACTCTGTAACTGTTCAGTAAGTTCAGATTGTAATACAAACAAAAATGATCAAAAGTCCATACAGTGCAATATGGAAACACTTGACTCAACTGTTTCTTTTTCACTATTGCTGTAACTAGACTGTGGAAAAATGAAATGCAGCGCTACTTATGCACATGTGCACATATACATACACACAGAGAGAGCACTGTAGATATACATGTATGAAAAGGTCAGGAACAAACCAGAACAAAGGCTTGATTATGTAATAAGAGAACACTGCATCAGCTTTTGTAAACGCATATACGTAACAAAGCACTACTATACGTGGAGACAGCTCTTAACAAACACGACCAGATTTTGGTGTAGACATCCAGCCACAGAATTGCAAACTGAAAGCTAACGCCTTAATCTGTAGCTACACAAATCATCTGTACTCTTTCCAGAATGCATTATGGTTAAGTTGAAACAGGGAAGACAGTTAACATATTCTGCTACTCTTGCACTTGCTGAATGACTGTTGATTTTCACAGCATGCAGAGAAAATGGAAAAAAACCATCCTGGATCAGATGAAAGATTTAAGGTTTCTCATCTGTGAAGATAACTGTCTAGAATTCAAATTCTTATTAAACCAGCTTTTTCTTCTAAGCTAAGAGGCGAACAAGGCGATTTATCATTTAAAGGTCAATGCCTAGATTTTACTTATTCAACAAAAAAATAAGCTTAAGCCGATGAACCTTCATTTACCTCCTCTGACCTTTACTTTCTAGTTAATTTTGTTTTGCTGAAGTATAAACATTGGTAATTCTAATCAAGTTTTTCAAAAAAATGACAAAAAAGCCCCAAAAAGCCAAACACACCAAAAAGAAGTACAGTGATCAGATAGTCCTCATTTTTATTGTGGTATTAAAATATTGGGGGGACAACTGGATGGGACACACCACATAACTGACCCTCTAAATTTAAAGACATAGTCAAATGAAATTTTATTTCCAACCTCAGAATTCTCTCCTCTTCACCATTCCTACAGTTTTTCAGTTTTCTGAGATCTCATTTGCCACTCTCGTATTCCCAAAAGAACCTATTGCTTTCTCATTCCTTTAAGGTAGTTTAAGTGGCTAAGGTTACTCATTCATTAGGTCCAGGTGATCTGAAAGACTGACTTACTTATCTAATTCCTTTTAAAGAAGTCAGTTTTTAATCTCCAAGATACCCTGAAGTAGTCAATGAAACACTACCAAGTTACATATTACTTTCTAACTTCTTTCTTTTATTTGTCTGGTACTTAAACAGCTTTGTTTCTTCCAAGTCATAGAAAATATTACAATACTTTTGCCCAGTCTTCCCGCAATCTCTAATTTGTTAAGTAATACTCTTTGACAACTTAATGAAAAATGTAAACAAAGAAGACAACTTCTCAGTCCCTGCCACAAAGATAGTGTAAGTAACGTCTAGTCATGTGTTTGAATTACACTCTGGTCACAATATACTTCCACCACTCAGTAAAGATATTTTTGTTCATTATTTAAGGGGGAAGCACTCAAACTTTAAAAAAAAATAAAAATCTTTGGTAACAGAATTAACTCTGAATAGATTTTGGCCTTATAAGGTCAAAGATGGGATAGAACAGAAGCTGAAGGAAGGTACCTTTACATTCTTTCAACTACATTATGTATTATTATGAGAGAACAAAGTGGAGGTTTAAGTAGCATGGAACAACGGCAATTTTAAGGTTTATCACAGTTGCTACTGTAGAGACATGCAGATGCACTCATGGCCCCTTTCTTCACTTTCCTGTAAAAAGAGCTATGTCTTCTAAACTTAGCTCTGCCAAGCCAGTGTGCTGGCTGTTACAGTTGCATCAGGTCACTGGAGAAGTATCTGTGAAGCAAACTCCAGCTGATATGAGGTCCTGGATGACCAAGGGAACTAGGAGAAACCATATATGCAGGGAGGCCTTCCCTGCACCCTCCCCAGCACAGTCCTTATGCAAGCTTTCACCCATTTGCCTGTATCTGGCTTTTGGTTATCAATGATTTGACTCATTCATTACAGAAATTCTCACTCTTGTGCTTATAGAAGCAGAAATCTGGAATGAGCTTTTTGCCCCAGACAGGTGCAATAATTTTTCTGTTGATTTCTACTGGAAAGATAGAGCAAGCATTCGCTCTGCAGTTTTTCATTCATCCACAAAAGGTTAGAAATGTTACTGGTAAACCATAGTGATCTGGGTATCTGATCACCTTTTACCATCCAGCATCTCTTCTGCTTGACTTTCTTGCAGAGCCCAAGCAAGGCTCAGTACTGAATTCTGATGTGTTGGCCACCCTGTATTTTTTAATAGTTATTTCATAATGTATGCCTGCTTCCTATTGTCAAACGAGTGAAATCAGAAACAGGAAATGTTTATTCATGTGAACCAGGCTTATGAATGGGAAAATGCAAAAACCAGTGGTTACAGGCAAAAATATTCTTGCTCAGGAGTTCAGGAAGGACAGATGAGCTTTTCTTAGTGTATAGTAAGAAAACTGAAGCTGCTGATAGTTCCTGGCATAAATCCCTACAAATTCTAACACTAAATTCAGTTCATTACTTGGATATAAGTACATGAGTAGAAGCTTCATGGCTTTCTGTGTAGACATTTGTAGATAAGGTTTGCCTTCCCATGTATCCAGACCAAGATATGGTTGGAATAAAAAAAAATAAAAATAAAAAATAAAAATCAATCATCATTGGACACAAGTTCATCTCTTAAGGTCATACCATACTTCCCCTTATTGACAATCCATTTTAGACTTGTTTCCTTGCAGCTTGTGCTGTAACAAACTTTACATATTTCTGTTATATGTGAAATCATTGTCTTTTGCTATGAAAGCCCGTGGCAGCATTTCAGACTTAACAGTGAAGTGCAGACCACTGTTAATCAGAAGCATATCTCTACCTTCTAAATCAAGAAATGATAGAAACTCAGTGGAGAGATGCTAGAAACAGAAATCCAATGTTTGAGAAGTTTCCATGTAAAAAAAGAACAGAGAGGAAGGTCGTATAATTAAATAATATTTAAACACAATCAGAACACATCTTTAGAACTGTAGCCTCTGGGATTAATAAAGCAAGCACTGATAAACTCTTTGCACTCGATCACCTATTTAGCAATTCTTTGGCTTACATTTTTGTAAAGTATTGAATATTTTTAAGTACCTAGGTAACTGCCAAATTTCACTTGGTTATTTGAATCTGTGTAGGCATGGATTGTATTTGCAGTTGTGTTGTATACAAAAACAGAACCAGTCCAATAAAATGATCCAGGTGCTCCCATTATAATTAAGTCCTAAAAGAAAAATAAAACAAAGCCATGTTATTCATATTATTATGATATGTGATATTAATGAAAATAAGCAAAAAGGTCAAATGCTTTTCCTTAGATCTCCTGGGAATTCAATGAAGTGCTACTAGAGAAGCATCTGGCTCAGTACTGGGGATTACCACAGTACACACAACAGTTTTCAGACTTTCTGAAAAAACAGTTATTAAAAACTTTCAGCTGTGAACAATTTGAGAGCAAACAGGATATTCTCTTCTCAGAAGTTTTTTTAGAAATCACAACCTTCAGATGAAACAGAGATTAAATAATATGGACTATTACTCTGTAAAGCAAGAAGGTAAGCATTACTAGTGTTAATGCTACACCAGATTACTTCGAATAATAAAGCTTCATACTCTGTTATATTCATGCCCTTTTTCCAGATGAAAAGTAACTTTGGATTTATTAAGGTGTAGAAGTAGTGTTGGGAATAAAAAGTAAATGTATTAGTTGGGAATTATCATGCAAGTCTTATCAAGACTAATTTTAAAAGAAATGAGAAAATCTGGGGTTTCCCTCCCACAATAAAAGACACTGTTAATGTTTGCATTTACATATACACCATTACGCATGCATACAAATAAGGAAGTATATATATATAGAGAGAGAGAGAGAGAGAAGTTTGGTATATTTAACACACACCTCAATGTAAAAACTAGACATTCCAGCTTGGCATGACCCATGATTTTCTCCAAACTTTCGCACATGATCTGGAAATGGGCAAGAAATATTAAAAAGGATAAGAAGGATGTAGTTTCAGGATTTGTTAGCAGGTTTTCAACAGAAGCTGGGTCAAGTTAAAAAAACAAACCAAACCAACGTTGGTTGTCAATTCTGTTAATAAAACTAAAAACACTAGTTCCACTGTATAGCCTTTAGCTTCAATATAGTATTGTAACCAACTCAAAGAACTATGTATCACTTGATCAGAGCTGTCTTTGAAATACTGTGACTTTAAAGGCTATACTTTCCTTTTTAAATTGTTCCATGAATGAAATAACACAAATAGTTTGAGCCGCACAGCTAGGTAAGCTTGACTCATTTGATCAGTATAACTGAGGCATAATCTGATTAACAGGTTTACGTATCTTGATAGGAGTTGCCCTGATACTCCACTAGTGCTTTGAAGGCCTTTTGTTATGGCTTTCTTAGATATATTGCTATTTATCCTCCTGAGCAGCTGTCTTTACATCCAACTCTCCCAGCTTTTTTTTTCCTGCTTTTCTTTGCTAGCTGCCTCCCATGAGGGTTCCCTTCATCTCATCCATAGATTTGTTCACTTAAAAAGTCACCACAGACAAAAACATGATTTCACCAATGCTCGGAAGAGTCTCCAAAGCCAGCACCAGCACGTTTGATGACATTACTCCATCGGTTTGCACAGAAAGGCCAGATTGTCAGCTCTTCTTTGCATTGGCAAGGGGCAGGGTCATGAGTTTGTTCTCCCTGATGGGAGGTAGGTATGAAAGGGAAGGCAGGGATGGAGTCGTTTGATAGCTTCAGGTCTTGACTCTTATTCTGCTCCTGAAGTCCTCTGAGGAAAGACCACTGAACGTCTCATGCTACAGCAAGAGCCTTGGCAGGAGGCAAGTGAGGAACAGGGACACACATTGTGTCAAGGAACCACAGCAGATTTGTATTAAAGTCTAAGGACAAGATAGCTACAATCATTTGCAGGTATTACTGCTGCTCTGCTGCGAGGTACTCTCCTTAGCAGAGCAAGCAAAAGACACAGTAAAGGAAGGAAGGATGTCCTCTACTAGTCTATTTTTGAGAAGCACACATCCTTCAATGATCCAGTCCAAGAAGCAAGTATTCTGACGTTCTGACGCCCTTTTTAAACTTTTTTTTTTGGTTTTTTTTTTTTTGCCTGTTGAGAGAGGCTTTTCTTTGTAGTGATAAACATCTTGCTAAGAAATTTACATCATGAATTGGGCTCTCATATCATCAGCACTCTATCTTCAAATCTTTGCCTGCAGAAAGCCTGATCAAAGCAACACGGGTTCTTCACAAACTGAACCACACAATTACACACCTTACCCTTTCCTAAAAAGGACCCAAGCATTCTGCTTACCTATATAGCACGGGCATATTCTTCTGCTCAGTTCAGTTCGAAAATCAGAAGAGACGGCAAAACAAATACCATATGGGAGCTTGTGCTCATTTTTTACATAAAAGATATTTTTCCATCTATGTCCACAAGCCTATGGATAAAAAACAAACATGGTATTTGACACATAAGCGTAAGAAAGGTGAAGGCAATCTGACAGACACACAGCTGCAGCAGTTAATACATACAACAATAGATCCGTTTTCTTTTGGCTGCCTCGATAAGCTGACACCCAGCCACTGATTATCACGCTCTTCCAAACAAGTCTTCCCACAGCGCTCTCCACTGGGGTTGCCTAGGACACAAAGACAGGGGCACAAGCTGAAGGGCCACATGGTGGGTAACAGCAACACCCAAGAACTCTACAGGGAGACCACAGTAACTCAGGTTTGGTGGATCTGACCTCCGTCTCACACAGGTCGTGCAGACTTTTCACTTTCTGCTTCAACAAAAGTACAATTGCATGTAGCCAAAGGGGACATGCTGGTTCTGACCGTGACAGGTTGGCAGCGAGGACTGGCTTTGCCATCGTTATTGAAATTAAGATAAAAAGTGACATTACAGTCAATCTGATGAAGGGCTGTCTTTGCAAGTGTTCTTCAGCCTAAGAGTTCATAAGAAACACCAGTAATATCCATGAGTGCTACCTAAACTCTAGCAAGCATCTCTCCAACTACATAACTATTGGTAGCAGACCTTAAAATGGTCTCTGCTGCAAATGGCTATCAAATAAAGGGCATATAACTGCAGTCTCTATTGGGGATGTCGCATCACTACGCATGCATGGCCTGCGTACTCCTTGCACTGTTGCATTTATTCAGCACTAGCTCTTTGTTTTTGTTCTGAAGGAGAGTTACTTTGTAAAAACTTAGAATAAATTTCACTATGTTCTCTAACTCCCCCAAAGGCTACAGTATTGACAAGATAGCAAATATTTCTTTCCTTCTAGAAAGCAGTAGTGGTACCCATAATAAGGAGAAGCTACACATTTGAAAGTATTCTAAGTTATATAAAGCAAGCTTTTAATTTGTAAGATGTTTGTATGAATAAGCATTGACCAAATTACTGAACCAGTATTTTATATGCATCATCATCACACAGTTTATGAAAATACTTCTTATAAAGTAAGGGAACACATAATTTCATTTGAACAAGCTCTTCTGCACAATTTTTAATACTTTCCTAGATTCACCGTGGTTACTGGTGAAACTTTTGAGGTGTAAGGGGTTTAGTTTCACAGAAGAGGGTGCCAACTTGGGTCACAGAGTGCCAGCACTGACAGGGACATTGTCCAACAGGAAAAACACCATAAATCAACCCCCCCCTCCAAACTGTGCTCGCACCAGAGCTGAAATTTATTACTGTCTAATGCATTAGAGGAGTGTATTTACTTAAACTCTAATTTAGTGGACTTGTTGAATTCCTTTTACAGGACATACAAGTGCACAATATTAAGTATAGAAACTTAATTATAAGTTTCCATAAGGAATAAAGGGATACACCTAGTCTCTTCAGTAGCCAGGAGAAAGATGAATGACTGCAGGCTTTGCTACATACATTCTCACAACCAACACTAACTTAAATTATTTTATACCTAGAATGTCATGGACTTTTTGAGAGAAAATACCAAATTAATGGAATCGAGACAATTCTTTATCACATGGTAAGAAAAGGTCAGGAGAAGCATTTGTAGCAATAAAACCCAACAACCATCTTTATTTCAGAGCTTGTTCACTACTGTTTGTGACAGGCCTAGCAAATGGTATTTGTCTGAAGAAACTGCTGGAGCCTCAATTTCTTCTACTTCTGTACCATCTCTCCACTTTTTCAAAATATCATGCCTTCTCTCTGCTCTGATGGAGAGACCAGAGTGCAGTCTGGAACCCCTTGCCATACTGCAGAGGGAACAACACATCCTGCTCACAGTACAACTGTACTCTACCTTCTTTCAAAAATAACACCCTTCATATGGTCAACAGTCACAGCATCTGACTCTCCTCCATCTCTTCTTTATCACTTCCTCCCCTATGTGCCTTTCCCAAAGACATCAAGCAAATAGTATGCAAAATGCACGTAAACAGGAACCGACCTCAGCACACACAATAACATCACATTCAATTGTCTTTGGGCCAATAAATTTTATGTTACTGTAATTTAATAATTCTTGTAGGTCATCTGAAAAATCATAATTAGAAACATATGAGCTCCTACTACATGACAAGAACGAAGTAAAATGCATTACTTAAAAAATCTACTAAAAAGAAGTTGATTTTTCTGCAGGGTCAGTTACTGAGGTTTAAACGATAAGCTTCCGAATTCTCCTACTTGGCTAACGTCAGTGACATGAACTTCCGCATACTGAATATATACCATTTTCAGAAACAAGTCTGGAATTTAGTTTTGGAATTTAATTTTGGAGTTGTCACGTAGTACTCCTCACTCCCTAAGGGAAACATTTCCATGGTTTGCATGAATTATAGAGCACGTTAATCTGATTGAAATCTCCTCAGAAAACAAAATTCCATTGCACTCCCATGTGTAAGAATTAATCCTCCCTTAAATCACAAAATGCACTTCTGGTAACTCCCTTCTAGCAATGCTTTCCATCCTCTTATGACAATGACTTACCTGGGACTTGCTTTATAGTCTATGCAGATTTGCAGGAAATGGAAGAATTGGAGAAGATCAATGTCAGAAATTTAGATCTCAAGAGGCTCTGACACTTTCTATCAGTAAGTCAAACAGACCAGATAATGATTACATAAGAGGAAGTTTCACTCATCCCAGCGTTTCATTCCTGTGACTATTTCAGAGGTTCATAACAAGAAAAAGCACCATGGTTCCTTCACATTTGGTGGATTGTACTCCCCTTTTCCTTGGCTCCAGCACACGTTCTTGATTCAGGTTCTCTTTGGCCCTCTGCTGACCTTATGTCTTATGTCTCCTCTCTTTCTCTGACTGGCAAGTATTCAACTGCCTTAAAAATCACAGGCCTTTGTAGGCAAGAGAGGGTTGAACTTGACATCCCAGACACCACAGTGAGCCCCTGCTCAAGGTATGACATTGTAAGAGCTTCATCACATGAGAAGAAAAAAATGCTATATTCTGCATAAGCAACAGAGCAGCACTGCATAAGCTCAAGAGTACATGGCAGCTTGGTTGCCTCAGGGAAAAGGAGCACATGCTGTCATGAAGTCACTGAGAGATAAGTAATTGCCCAGTCTGTGTACATTACACAGCTGGAAGATACACTTCTGCTATAATCCCCACTGCATGCATCCATAGAAACAGCACAATTGGATATAAATAAGGTCACAACTTATAAAGCCACTTCTAGCTTTGGCCTCAAGGACTCTAATACAGATGTTTGCAATGTCATCTGAGAAACCAGTTTTATATAACTTGCTCCAGTGCTTTCCATGCCCAGCAGCCTGCCACAATCCTTCTTACCCCAGAACGCCTCTGGTCCTGTTGCAAAAACTGCTTAAAACTATGAAGTCTACTGCAAAGATGACAACCCTTCTGATATCCTACTCCTAGATGTCAGGGCCTGGTAAGATTCTTTATTTTTTTCCATTCGTCCAGTGCAATCTTTTATCTTTTCACAATTTGATAGGTCTCATCCCTCTTATGTCCTTCAAACCACTTCTACCCAAAACATTTTAGGGAAGTGCCGGCTGTTTCCATAACTCTGTAACAGACCTAGTTCCAGAAAGGTCCTGTCTTCCTTGGAATAGCATGGCTATTTCAAAGGAGATCACAGGCAGGGTATGAGTAATGCAAGTGAGATTAAGAAGCTGAACTACTGCAGGCAAAACTTACTGAAATCAAAGTTGAACAAACACAGGTCAGACTTTTGGGGAAAACCATTAACTGTTCACTTTTCCACTGTAATGATTCAGCTGGGGGAGCTAGAGGGCAATTTGTTCATAGGTTAACTGTAGCAGGGACTTGAAGGGTGGAAGGCTGAAACAGAGGGCAGAGCTTTTGGGACTTGTGTTAAACAACGTGCACTGAATTTACTGTGTGGATCCATAGTTAAAAAAATATTATTTTTTTTAAGACTGGATGGCAAATTTTTTAAACTGTGTCCTGTATTTTTAGCCAGTGAATCACTCTGTTTCAAATCTGAGAGCAATTTTGTTGAAAAATTTCTGTAATGTTTTGCAAATCCAAAATGTAACAGGTCAAAACATCTGAAGAACTTTGTGCAAGTTCCTTTGCAATAATCTATGTACCCCAAACTCAAGTGGGCAAGGTTTTGAAATTCAAAAAACTAGAAGACTGGTAGAAGACAGGCGCTTAGTGCTCCAAAAAACAAACCTGAGGCATTCTATTTTGTATTTGTGCCTAGAGCCTGATTACAAGCCTCAGCACCTAACATAAGCCATTGTTTAAAATTACTCCAAATACAAATAAATCAGTAGTCTAGAATATTTGACACCATTGGCAGAAGGACTAGAACTAGAAAAGAAACTCTCAAAAGATTACTCCTCTACTCAGCAATCAGTGCCAGTGAGGGGCTGGAAAACAAAAATTTGCTAGTGTATCTCGTGGCTTCTCTCAGCTCTTAAACCAGCCCAGGTCCCTGCAATCCCCTGAACATTAAAATTCTCTGAAGGATGCCTGGATGAGTTTTTTCCAGATGCTGAGATGCCGACAGCACACGACTACTTCAAGCAACTTTTCCTCTACTGAGGAAGCAAATAGCAATGTGTGACATAAAAAATACAACAGCAGTTTTGTGTGATCAGAGGCTTCCTAATTGTGCATGAATCCTTCATTAGTTATGCCAGTTTCAAGGCTACTTTTGTGAAAAATAGCAACAAAATGTTTTAACATCTTTATCTTTCAAAGTAATTCATATCCATTTATTAGAGGCATAACATTTGAGAAAACTCACTTCTATTGCCTCTTGTCACCTCCACATTTCTATGATTCATAACTAGAAACTTACTACATCAAAGAGTCTTTCGCTAAAAGTATCTACGAGAAAGATAGAAATAGCTTTTTCTCAATTTGCCTGTCCCTGCAATGTAATACATCCCTGCATATTTTTCAGAGGAAATTACCCTATTCCATGAGGTCAGAACCCAAACTGATCACTGGCAAGAATCCAAGCAGAAGAATGAGGAGGTCACTGACTGAAAGACACAGTGTTGATAAAACCATTCCATCCAAAAGTTGCTGACAGCCTGAATGAGTTAGACAAGAGATAATTAAGTTCAACTTTGCAATGTCAAGTTCCCTTGTGTATTTCTGTGACTGCTCAGCAGGATGGCAGAGGCTTAACAAACCTCAGATACCATCCTACTTCATTTACATCCCATGCACCACAACCGCCTTTGGCTTCTTCGTTGACCTCACTGACCTGTTTTACAATGGAGCACTTCTTTTCAGTATCTATTTAACTTCAGAAATACTGTAGATGTACCATAGTGATGTAAAGATGTCATCTAGCACTAAGGGAAACAAACATTTTGCTAATTTGCTCTTGTGGCATCACTTGGTTTTTTTAAAAGTGCAGGACAAGACAGTAAACCTCACTGTGTAACCTGTGGACTCTAAAGACAGGAATAGAAGCTTAGAAGCTGTGTTAAATTAAGACTTTGGAACCACATAAACACTTTAATTCACCTGTTGCATCATGCTGTTTAGAATTTCCTAAGCTACTGACAAAAAGCCCATCAAAGTTACTTCGTCAGCTTTTCCTTCTCTGCTAGCTAAATGAGTAAGTCAAGAAGTACTGCAGATGTATTTAGTTCTCGAAGAACCTGAAACTTTCTACATGTCCCTCCTTTCCTTCCCCCATGCAGTGAAGGACTATTTTTACCTCCCATCCAGGAGCAGGGGTTTATTGCCTCTTAGCATATGCTATTTCATCACCACTGTAGTTGACTTCTTTGACTTTTGCAAGCCTCCTCTTACAAACAAGCAGTTGGAGAAAAAAAGCTCTTTGTTGTATATAATTGTTCAATAGGTCTAATATTGGAATGAAATTACTCAAAAAAAACCCCAAACAACTACTTGGAAGTTTAATTGCAGTTCTTTCTACAAGCAACTGCTTGCCTTCTGCTTATGTGGCTACTGCTGTAAAAGTAAAGCACTGCTTAAGTATCTTAGATTTTCATAGCTTAGTTACAAAAAATAGTTCTCATTTTTATCTGTAGGAAAAATGGATAGAACCCATCAGCTCTAGGCGCTATGCACAGATGTGTAGAGAAGTAACTGTTTTAACATTTTTGTCACAGAATGCTGCATTCTGCCCTGAAAGCCCATCGGTTTATGGCGTGCTATCGCTCTCACTGGTTTCAAATATTTTGAAAACCCTTTCCCGCGCTTCTTATCCTTACTGGGCGGCAAGTTCATAGTTTTAACGGATTGGATGGTCTTGGTCACAGCAGGAAAGTTCAGGAAGCTTTCTATGCATAGTGTAGGAATAGAATGACGGGCTCTGTATGCAAGGGGAATAAGAACAGAGCCCAAAGCAATGCACACGTATTCACGGCAACCCACTGCAAAGTGTTTTCCTTTTTAACAAGTATCAAACACTTGGAAATTGGGTAAGTGCATCCAGTTGCATCTCCCAAGCATGGGGTCTGGGGAGGTAGGGAGGAGTTAGGTTAAATGCCGGAGCTGTAAAAATCGATTCTGTTAAAAATAGGTTTGTTCCTCTGAAACTCAATTTTTCAACAAATCTGCAGACAGGGAGAACCCATCTGCAAGACAACTGCAGTTCAGAGTTACTTTAGGGTGGCTTCTACGAAGGGAAGGCTTTGCAGGAAAAAAAAGACATTTCAGGCACATAATTCCACCCCCATCTCTGAGCTAACTCCACTGACCCCCTGCTCTGAAAGCCGGCCTAGCTTTCCGCTGAGTACGAAACTCTCAGGAGGCTTTTGAACCGGGTGCTGAAGGATGCGAGAGAAAACTGGGAACGGGAGCTGTCACACGCGACTTCTCTAAATCAAGTTTTGGTGCAATTCTTTCTGTCTGCACCAAAAAAAAAAAAAA